GTAAAAATGGATAAATTCCTGGACATATACACCCTACCAAGACTACACCAAGAAGAAGGTGAATCTCTGAATAGGCAAATAACAGTTTCTGAAATTGAGGCAGTAATAACCTACCAACCAAAAACAGTCCAGGACCAGATGAATTCACAGGCAAATTCTACCAGAGGTACAAAGAGGAGCTGATACCATCCCTTCTGAAACTATTGCAAACAATAGAAAATGGCCATACTGCCCAAAGTAATTTATAGACTCAATGCTATCCCCATCAAGCTACCATTGACTTTCTTCACAGAATTAGAAAAAACTACTTTAAATTTCATATGGAACCAAAAAAGAGCCCACATAGCCTAGACAATCCTAAGCAAAAAGAACAAAGCTGCAGGCATCATGCTACCTGACTTCAAACTATACTAGGTTAAAGTAACAAAAACAGCATGGTACTGGTACCAAAACAGATATACAGACCAGCAGAACAGAACAGAGGCCTTAGAAATAACATCACACATCTACAACCATCTGATCTTTGACAAACCTGACAAAAACAAGCAATTGGGAAAGAATTCCCTATTTAATAAATGGTGCTGGGAAAACTGGCCAGCCATATGTAGAAAGCTGAAACTGGATCCTTCCCTCACACTTCATACAAAAATTAACTAAACAGGGATTAAAAACTTAAATCTTATACCTAAAACATAAAAACCCTAGAAGAAAACCTAGGGAATACCATTCAAGACATAGGCATGGTTAAAGACTTCATGACTAAAACACCAAAAGCAATGACAACAAAAGCCAAAATAGACCAATGGGATCTAACTAAAGAGCTTCTGCACAGCAAAAAAAAAAAAAAAAAAAAAAAAAAAAAATCTCAGTGGAGTGAACAGGCAACCTACAGAATGGGAGAAAATTTTTACAACCTATTTATCTAACAAAGGGCTAATATCCAGAATCTACAAAGAACTTAAATTTACAAGAAAAAACAAACAAACAACCCCATCAAAAAGTGGGCAAAGAATATGAACAGACACTTTTCAAAAGAAGTCATTTATGCAGTCAACAGACATATGAAAAAATACTCATCACTAGTCATTACAGAAATGCAAATCAAAATCACAATGAGATACCGTCTCAAGGCAGTTAGAATGGCAATCATTAAAAAGTCGGGAAACAACAGATGCTGGAGAGGATGTGGAGAAATAGGAAAAATTTTACACTGTTGGTGGGAGTGTAAATTAGTTCAACCATTGTGGAAGACAGTGTGGCAATTACTCAAGGATCTAAAACTAGAAATACCATTTGACCCAGCAATCCCCTTACTGGGTATATACCCAAAGGATTATCAATCATGCTACTATAAAGACACATGCATACGTATGTTTACTGTGGCACTATTCACAATAGCAAAGTCTTGGAACCAACCCAAATGTCCATCAATAATAGACTGGCTAAACAAAATGTGGCACATATACATCATGGAATACTATGCAGCTATAAAAAAGGATGACTTCATGTCCTTTGCAGGGACATGGAGGAAGCTGGAAACCATCATTCTCAGCAAACTATCACAAGGACAGAAAACCAAACACTGCATGTTTTCACTCATAAGTGGGAGCTGAACAATGAGAACACATGGACACAGTGGGGAAACCATCGCACACCGGGGTCTGTGGGTGGGGGGGTGGGGGGGCTGGGGGAGGGATAGCATTACGAGAAATACCTAATGTAAACAACAAGTTGATGGGTGCAGCAAACCAACATGGCACATGTATACCTAGGTAACAAACCTGCAAGTTATGCACATGTACCCCAGAACTTAAAGTATAATTTTTTTTAAAAAAAGCCAAAATTGACAAATGGGATCTAATTAAAGAGCTTCTGCACAGCAAAAGAAACAATCATCACAGTGAACAGGCAACCTACACAGTGGGAGAAAATTTCTGCAATCTATCCATCTGACAAAGGGTTAATATACAAAATCTACAAAGAACTTAAATTTACAAGAAAACGAACAACCCCATCAAAAAGTGGGCAAAGGATATGAACACTTTTCAAAAGACGACATTTATACAGCCAACAAACATATGGAAAAAAGTTAATCATCACTGGTCATTAGAGAAATGTAAATCAAAACCACAATGAGATACCATCTCACACCAGTTAGAATGATGATCATTAAAAATTCAGGAAACAACAGATGCTGGAGATGTGGAGAAATAGGAACACTTTTACACTGCTGGTGGGAGTGTAAATTAGTTCAACCATTGTGGAAGACAGTGTGGCGATTCCTCAAGGATCTAGAACCAGAAATACCATTTGACCCAGCAATCCCGTTACTGGGTATACACCCAAAGGATTATAAATCATTCTACTATAAAGACATATGCACACGTATGTTTATTGTGGCACTACTCACAATAGCAAAGACTTGGAACCAACCCAAATGCCCATCAACGATAGACTGAATAAAGAAAATGTGGCACTTATATACCATGGAATACTATACAGCCACAAAAAAGGATGAGTTCATGTCCTTTGCAGGGACATGGATGAAGCTGGAAACCATCATTCTCAGCAAACTAACACAGGAACAGAAAAATCAAACACCACATGTTCTCACTCATAGGTGGGAGTTGAACAATGAAAACACACGGACACGGGGAGGGGAACATCACACACCGGGGCCTGTCAGGGGTGTGGGTGCTAGGGGAGGGATAACATTAGGAGAAACGCCTAATGTAGATGACGGGTTTATGGGTGCAGCAAACCACCATGGCACGTGTATACCTATGTAACAGACCTGCACATTCTGGACATGTATCCCAGAACTTAAAGTATAATATAAAAAAAAAAAAGAAAAGAAAAGGATGGAAGGAAGGAAAAGAAGGAAGGTAGGCAGGCAGGCAGATAGGAAGGCAGGCAAGAACACATAACAAATATCTGTGCGGCTTTACAAAAACACAGGAAGAATAGATGAGAAGTAATGACGTTGTTTACTCACACAGGATTGGGTAGAATGGATGGAACAAAAGAAGGAAGACAATTCTCTGAATATACGTTTTCAGATCTTTTAATTTTGTTTTTTCTTTTATCAGCTTTTAAGTTCTGGAGTACATGTGCAGATTTATTACACAGGTAAACGTGTGTCATGGTGGTTTGCTGCACAGGTCAACCCATCACCTAGGTATTAAGCCCAGCATCCACTAGCTATTCTTCCTGATGCTCTCCCTAATATTCTAACACCAAAGAAATGAAATTAAGCCAGCAAGGATGGGAAGCAGGTAGAGGGTGGGGAAGACTCATATTAAAAGTAAAGTCATCTCTAAATTAGAAATAATAGCAGTATCTATACAAGTAAATCCATGTAAAGTGCTCAGAACAGTGCCTACTATATGTAAACACTGAACAGGTATTAACAACATTGCTATTATTGTGTTAGTGTATTAGGTACCTGGTGCTACTAAGGAAGGAGACCACTACTACTCCTGCTGCCCTCCTCCTCCCACCTTGCCTAGTTCACAACACAGGAGGAAAGTGAGAAAGAAACAAAAGTAAGATAAATAACCAGACAACCTTGGCACCACCACCCGACCCTAGTAGTTAAACAAAGTAATAATAATAACATCAACCCCTGGCCTAAACTACTTGTGTTATCTGTAAATTCCAGACACTGTATGAAAAAAGCATTGTAAAACTTTCTGTTCTGTTAGCTGATGCATGTAGCCCCCAGTCACGTTTCCCACGCTTGCTCGATTTATCATGACCCTTTCAGGTGGACCCCTTAAAGTTGTAAACCTTTAAAAAGGCCAAGTATTTCTTTCTCAGGGAGCTCGGCTCTTAAGACGCGAGTCTGCCTAGGCTCCCGGCGGAATAAAAAACCTCTTCCTTCTTTAATCCGGCGTCTGAGGAGTTTTGTCTGCGGCTGGTCCTGCTACACTACCAGCAAAGGCAGTTTATCATCCAACTGTCTCCAGTGTTGCTACTCAAAGTTTGGTCCTCCAGCAGCCTACCAGGATCACCCAGGGGCCTGTTAGAAATGCCTATCTCAGCCCTTACCGCAGACCTACTGAATCAGAATCGGCATTTTTAACGGGATCCGCAGGTGATTCCTATGCACATTATAGTGTAAGAAGCACTAGGGTACAGACATGTATGTGGCAAAATAATTTCATAGGATAGCAAAGGCCAAGTGGCAAATGAAGGACACCAGAAATGCACGTCCCAGGAGCTCAACTCCTCTTTAGTAACTTATCCTGTTAAGATTTGTTTAGAGATCTTCAAAAGCGTGGAGAAAAGCAAATTTGGTTTCCTCAGCTAGGGACGTGGAGAGTGGTCTGGTGCCCTTGAAGAGATCGCCCTCGTGTGGAGTAGGGAGGGAATCTCCAGCCCTCCCTCCCGGTTGAAGGACCGCACCAACGCTCCAAGCCGAAGGCCTGGCCTGGGTTCTGGAGGTGGGGTCTCCTTGGCAGAAGCCTCTGGTGTCTGCAGCGTGCATTTCAGCTTTAAGACCAAAGACCTTGTCCACCACATGTGTCACTACAGTGTGCACGCGCAGAAATGCACAAAGCAAAAAACAGATGCTCTTAATGAACCAACTATAATCCTTACTAAGACAAGGCCAGAGGGAAGTGTGTATTTGAAATCATTTTCTACACTTCACCCTCCTGGATCCCAGCACTCTGGCTTCGGCGCTCTCTTGTATCCCAGTTTTTAGAAGACAAGCTATTTCCTAATTTGTTTTTTAAGAGACAGAGTCTCGCTTTGTTGCCAGGCTGGTCTCAAACTCCTGGGCTCAAGCGATTCTCCCACTTTGGGGTAACATCTTACGTTATTCTACTTAATAAAACGCAAACGTTGTTTTGTAAATTCTAATTTAAATGCCCGGAAAATAACCTATCATGCATTGCCTTGTTGTGCAATAAATAGTCAATATTTGCAAAGTGTTAACCAAAGGCAGTTCATCAAAACTTTTTGAAAAAAACAAAAACAAAAAATCCCACACTTACATTGTCCTAAGGATTTCCTAAGTTTTCGAATGTTCCTGTACGAATCCGAGTCTCTATAATGACTGTAATTGAAAAGATAAGTCAGGGTTTTCTTTTGGTTCTTTTCCATTTTAAAATCATAAAACGCAATGTTTTCCACTTGAACGCTATACCTTAAGTATTGTGCTTGCTTCAGCCTCGAGCCTCTACTGACGTTCCACCTCAAGGCGACAGGAATGCCACCTGGAGAAACTCCTGGGCCGTAGAGGAAGAAAGCCGGTCTTATCAGGGTACTTTTGCTCGTCAAGAACAAGGTGTTAAATTCCAAGCACACTTTGGAAAGTTCTAGGTGCTTGGGAAGAGGCCCCTAGGGGGCAGGGATGCCCGCGCCCCGGCGTCCCACAGCGGAGGGTGGCTGCGGGGCCTGGCTTTGGTGGGGCGGGGCGGGCTTGTGTTACCCGGAGGCACCGGGCGCAGCCACCACTGCCCGCGGCGCCTCCTCCTAGAGCCGCACCCGGAGGCAGCGCGCCCGTCGAAGAGGCAGCGGCTGGGGAGCGCGGCGGGGCGGCTCCGCCCAGGGCAGCCCGGGCTGGTGAGTGCGCGCGGGGCCGGGGGTCGCGGTCCCTCGGGAGGGGGCTGAGCTGAGGCCCGCGGACCCACCCGAGCAGGGGCCCTCGCTGTCACCGCCTCTGCCTCTGCCCCTCTCTCCCGGGCTCCATGCCGCGCCCTTTCCCTAAATGAACAGACGACAGGGCTGACCTGCCCGCACTCTGCTGGTCTCTACGCCGGGAAGGAGAAAGTCTCACGAAGCGCTTTCCTTTGCAATCCCCGTCCCCTCGCCCTCTGCAGCTGCACACAGCATTTTTACTTCACGTTTGCCTCCTCGAATCCCTTCGGCGCTAATCCAGCCCTTTGCCGTTTCCAGTTTGGTTTTCATCTTTTTCTCGCGCGCCCTGGCTGTGCTCCGAAACACCCTCCTCTTGCCCTAAGGTGGCCGGCACCAGACTCCTTGGGTCTGGCCTGATTTGTATCCAAACCGAATTACCCAAAACTAGGCCCTCAGTTCTGCCTCTGGCCCTCTCTCCGGAGACCGGCCGTGCCTCCTCCTGTGCCGGGCCGGGCTTGCCCGGCTTTGGCTGCCCCGAGCTCCCAGGGAGCGAGGCTGTGGTCCCGAGACTGGGCCCTCCGCTCAGTGCCGGGCAAGGCTCGAACCCCGGGTCTCCTACTTCTCGGCTCACGAAGGGACTGGTCAGAGCCTAACAGCCCTAAAATTTGGTATTGGCCCCCTGCCGGGAAATCCTTCTCCCTGCTAATCAGGCATCGCGGCAGCTGCTCTGCCATCACAGAGGTTCTGACACTCTGGACTCTCGAAGCTCGCGGCAGTGTTTATTTTTACGAGAGATTTAGTTGATCAGGAACCAATTGACTTGGTTAACTGCCTCATCTAGAGCGCACCTGCGCCGGGCTCAGCCGGGAAGGCGTGCTGGACGTTCTCAATGAGCTCCGAGACCTACAGAAGAAACAGCTGCAAGGATCCGATCTGCTAACTGTGAAAAAAGCCTCCGATACGCTGTAGGTGGGCAAAATTCTTTTCCTAGCTTCGATGAGTACTGTGAATTCTAGAATTTAAATAACATTCATGGAGACTCTTAAAACAACAAAAAAATGGCAACCTTTTGCGGGGACTGACTGAGATTTAGCTTTTTCCTATCTGAAAAGTGAACAGTGTGCACTAGATACAAATGTATTGTCTAAAGTGTAGGAATCTACAGCATAGAAATGCAGGGGAATTCGGAGTATGCAATAGGAAGTATCAACCTTTTTGAAAATGAAATTTAAAATGTGTTTTTGTCAGGCATTCCTTCTAATTACTGTAGTATTGCTTTGTATCAGAAGACTTTCAGACAGAGGACAGGAGGGAGGAGAGAGAAATTCAAACTAATTTGCATTAGAAAGAAAGTTAGGGCGAGGAATTCCTAGGTAAGGTTGCTATAGCTCATATCTTAAGTGCACTGTTGGAAAGCTTTCTAGTCTATTAGGTAACACCTGAAGCCCCAATTCTCTTACGTAGCATTTCTTTTTTTCTCTCTCTTTAACTACTCTGAAACTGTACAGAGTTACACGTTCCTCATTAATTTATGAGCAAAACCAAAAGAATTGACTCAATCCAACAAGTATTTGAGCGCCTTTCGAGTAGAGGCGCTTTGCTAAGAACAGAAGAATGGAAGACTAAGGAAGTTTCTAACAATCAGTGGATTGTCTTGTGAGGTGTAGATGCAGGTGTGCACTGCCTATTTAACTGACAATCAAAATCAGTTGAGTTTTCATCTCATTCTAAATATCATGTGTTGCCCCCTGGTATCTTAATTTTTCTACCGTTGCAGGTAGTCTGCATTTTAGTAACCCAAGTGAAACAGTTTTCGAGGGAAATCATGATAAATAAGAAGTACATCCATATTCCCAGGTGTTCTCATTACCATTACATTAATAAAGTTAAAATCAAGAAAAATGAGATGATGATTTTCCTTTCTTTTGGTTTCAAACTAGTGAAATCTTGCACAAAAGAAGACACAGCATGAATAAATTTAATAATTTTGTGCCTCAAAGTATGTTTTATGTAAGTCTATTCTTTTGGAGGATAGATCTAATTTCATGAACTCTTAATCCTTTTGAAGGCTAGTTCCAGGACCAACTTCATAAAATGTTTTATTGTAGGTACCAACAACTGTCAACATCATTATCTTCTCCCCACTTTCACCTTTGAAAACAATTGTATTCTAGAGGACTATGAAGGAGGGGACAGGTCTCTTTCAAAATCTGGAGAACACTAGGGACTTTATCCCCCCCAAAATAAAAAAGCACACCCATTCAAAATCTTGTACACCTTTCAGAGGATTCCTGGTGCCCAGGTTGTGAGAGCTTGCTTTAGAACGGGTCAGCGAATTAGTCAGAGGGTAGGTAGGTGGAGGGAAAGGGAAGTGAAGCAAGATGTGGGTAAATTCACAAACTGAGTGGATATGACTTAATTTACTTTCAAATGGAATAAATACATGGTCCCTTGAGTAAGTATTCTGTGAATGGGAAGTAATAATTGTATTATTTGTAAAAGACTAAAGACAGATTGGCCTAATTTTTTAATTGATCAAGGTCAACTCTTATCTTGAACATTATGAGTCTCTCATTTTTCTACTTTTCTTGCTCTTTTCAAGGCAAGTGCTCTAGGAGGATTTGCTCCCAGTACTGATGATGCCCCATTCGGGACACAATCTCTCATATGCAAACTTGTAGTCATGAATTGCTACATATGGGAATGGTCGAGTTCAAAAATTGAAATATATGTTTTTCACACCCTAGCAGTTCACCCTTAGGAAGAAGATATAATTATATATAACTAGCCTATCCCATGTAAGCCACTCTGATAGCAGTAGCTGTGCCTTGGAAGGGAGTGGGTTGATATTAGGAATGAAAGGACAGCATTAAGAAATATTTTAGACATAGCTTCTTTCAAAAACACAAACCAGCAACTGCTGAATTAACTTACTTTTCTTCTTCTATATATAGGGCCAAGGAGCGAGCTCTACCTTCTCTAGCTCTCAGCCCCAGTAATCAAGGTTTCAGTGAACTTCACTGGAGCTCCCAGTGGGGGATCTTGTCCCCTGTCCTGACTTTTGTGCTGCACATTGGATCTGGGTAAGTAGACAGCCTCCTTGAACTAGTAAATTGGAGAGTGGGTCAGAGGTAGTGATGGATTTTATCCAGATCAAAGGATTCCTCAAAATTTCCAGAGATCTGAATCACACACCACTACTTGGAAGAAAACTATAAGAGAGAATACCAGAACCATCACACCTTACACTTACCTTTTAACTTGGATCGGAATCAGCCTAAGATATCCTTAGCTATCAACCAGCTTTGACTTACCGTATTCTTGAGTGGCAACTAGGTGGTGGGCCAACAACCCTAGAATGTCCTTGAAAGATGCTTATTGGATTTGTAAATTAATGGAGATCATGGTTTTAAGCCAAGCTCTGCCACTAACCAGGCATGTGGTCTTGGGCAAGTCACATGTCAGTTAAATTCTTTGGACCTTAATTTTTCTATGTATAAAATGAGGGTGCTATATGGCACCAGTGGTTCTCAGCAACTAATGTATAATTCCATTGCATTTGCATTGCCTGGGAGTTTATTTAGAAAAAAAAATACCCAACAGAGATTCTGATTAATTAATCAGATTTATTTTGAGGATAAAGTCCTTAGTGTTCCCTAGATTTTGAAAAAGACCTGTCCCCTCCTTCATAGTCCTCCAGAATACAAATGTTTTCAATAGTGAAAGTGTAGGCCAGGCTCAGTGGCTCACACCTGTGCTCCCAGCACTTTGGGAGGCTGAGGCGGGAGTACCATTTGAGGCCAGGAGTTCAAGACCAGCTTAGCCAACATAGCAAAACCCTGTCTCTACTTAAAATACAAAAATTAGCCAGGCATGGTGGCGCATGCCTGTAATCCAGCTACTGGGAGGCTGAGGCAGAAGAATCAAACCCAGGAGGTGGAGGTTGCAGTGAGCCGAGATTGCGCCACTACACTCCAGCATGGGCAACAAGAGCGAGACTCTGTCTCAAAGAGAAAAAGAAGAGTGATGAAGGTGGGGAGAAGATAATGGACTGACATAGGCCCAGGCATCTTTATTTTTTAAAAGTCCCCCCAGCAAATACTAATATCCAGTCAGGATTGAGAAAAGCAGGCCCACAAAATCCCTGGTAAACATAACCTGGCCCAGCATTGCACCTCCTCAGTGGTAACCAAACCTAAACATGCCTTTCTCAGAAGCAGTCCAGATCAAGCCATTTCAGGTTATTCAGGGGAGCTGCTGTGCCTGCTCACCTTTTTGATATTCCCACAATGCTTTGCTGACTTTGCAGCACCCGGTAGTTTTTGACAGTCTGAATTAGGTGTAACTCTGCCTATCCAGGATGATCAGCTGTTCCTAAAGGTCCCCAGAGACGATAACATCTCTGCTCTGGGTATCCATGCCAGTGTTTAATAACCTCTTGCAATTTTCTCCTTGAAGTGATCTGTGACTTGTTGAGGTGGGGAAGAAAGGTGTCAGCAGGGGATAAGCATGATCACCTTGATCGTCGCTGAAATGTGAGCTTCAGTGTCCAAACTGAGATAAAAAATGATCCTCACACCTTCTCAAGTAGTTGAAGACTATTGAGTTACCAGGGAGAGGAGAAAAAGAGCACATTGTTTACCTTAATTATTTCTTGGGACCTAATCATGTTGCCATTACACTGTAAATTCTGTAGATTTTCACACTTGGAAAATTCTTCTAGAGTTAGCACTTACTATATTGTAATCCATGAAATGTATTTGTTTACCCTACTCTTCTTTTAATCTCCTAATACTCTTCATATCCCAAAGACAAAAAACTGTGTGTATATGTGACTGTCAGATCAGTAAGAGAGACAGACATCAGTTGACCAAAAATGGAAAGGAGGAAAAACTGACAAGGGTAAGAGGCACGTGGGTTACCAGGAGCTACACTTAATTTCTCTCTTTTCTTTCTCGATTAGTCTTATCTCTGCTATAAGCCTATTCTCAACTTGCTGAAATGCAGGCAGATTACCATATCCCACCTGCTCTGTTGGGAGCAAGCCTCCCAAAATCTGGCCATAAACTGGCCCCAAAACTGGCCATAAACAAAATCTCTGCAGCACTGTGACATGTTCATAATGGACCTAACGCCCAAGCTTGAAGGTTGTGGGAATGAGGGCAAGGAACACCTGGCCCGCCCAGGGTGGAAAACCGCTTAAAGGCATTCTTAAGACACAAAAAATAGCATGAGCAATCTGTGTCTTAAGGGCACGTTCCTGCTGTGGCTAACTAGCCCAACCTATTCCTTTAATTCAACCCAACCCTTCATTTCCCATAAGGGATACTTTTAGTTAATTTAATATCTATAGAAACAATGCTAATGACTGGTTTGCTTTTAATAAATATGTGCGTAAATCTCTGTTCAGGGCTCTCGGCTCTGAAGGCTGTGAGACCCCTGATTTTCCACTTCACACCTCTATATTTCTGTGTGTGTCTTTAATTCCTCTAGCGCCGCTGGATTAGGGTCTCCCCAACTGAACTTGTCTCGGCATGCTCCGTGTTGACAAATGTGGGCTTGTGGCCCTTGACTCCCGCATGTTCCCTGCAGCCTTCCATACACAGTGCATGCAGTACTGTCTCCAGGGGTGAACTGGCAGCCTGGACACACTTGGTCTAATCCAGCGTTGGCCAATCCCAGGGCCTGACTTAATTCTAAATCACAGCTTAGGTTGGAGCATATTTTATTTTTTCCTGGAGTGGAAAGCTATTGGCAGTAAAGTTTTTACCTCTGTATCTCAGAGGAGTGGCCTTTACCTGATGTCAAAAATCCAATGCAGACCTACAAAACCAGCTCAGCCCCCACCTCTCCAGCTGCCTAGAGCTGGTTGTACTCATTGCCAGTAAAAAACACACAAAAGAAAACAAAATTCTAGGATTGGAGTCGTTTTATATGTTCATTGCTGATCGTTGTTCCCAAAGATTTAGTAGTATTGGGCACATGTTCTGTTATGTCATAATTTATTCCTGACCTACTTCTTAAAATGAATTAAAGTAGGAAGAAATATACCAGGAAAAGGTAGATTTGTCATAATTTCAACTCTACTGGAAACTTAATTATTACTAAATTCAATGGCCCATTTATGTGTTTATAAATAAAAATGTATCCTCCCATACATCTAGTTTCTTAAGATAATAAGAATAGGGTCGTGCTAGTCCTTAGGATTATCATTAGTTTGCTTTTTAAATCTTTACTTCCAAAAAGCAACACAATTTTGCAAAATAATTAGAAATGGTAAAATTTCTTAGCCAGTCCCTGTTTATTGAACACTTTTAACAACATCCTCAAAGGTAACAAGGGTTTTCATTGCTTCCTTTCTTGCATTTTTGTTTCCTTCCTTTCTTCCTAGAGTCATTCATTATCCAACAAATATCTAATGAGTTCCCCCATGCCCCTGACTTCACATAGGTTACATTCTTATGAAGAAGGGAAGGCAGACAGAAAATAAAGAAGTAAACCATCATGTAGGTTAGATAGTGTTAAGTGCTATGGAGAAACATACAGCTCATAAAAACATGAGACTTGTCTGGGAGTACAGCATCCTGGCCAGACATGTGCTTGGCATGTTCATAAAACAGCAAGGAGGCCATGTGCAGTGGCTCATGTCTATAATCCCAGCAATTTTGGGAGGCCAAGGCGGGCGGATTGCTTGAGGCCAGGAGTTCAAGACCAGCCTGACCAACAAGGTGAAATCCCATCTCAACTAAAAACACAAAAATTAGCTGGGCGTGGTTGCACACGCCTGTAATCCCAGCTACTCGGGAGGCTGAGGTGCCAGAATCACTTGAGCCCAGGAAGCAGATGTTGCAGTGAGCTGTGATTGCACCACTGCACTCCACCCTGGGCAACAGAGCAAGACTCTGTCTCAAAACGAACAAACAAACAAACAATAGTAACAGACAGCAAGGAAGTCCATGTGGCTGGAGCAGAGTGACAAGGTGGGAAGGCGAAGAAAATGACCCCAGCAAGGAAAGGAGCAGTGGACAAGAGTTTGAGAGGGTGCTAAAGATCATACAGGACCCATTTTCAGTGGGATACTTGTAAAGTGATGTGAAGATGGGGTTTCTTACTGTTTAGTTGAAACAGCAGCAGCCTGTGTTCTCTTTCTTCCTTGTTATACCTCCTGGATAGTCCCCCCGGCTTTCCTTTCCTCTCCAAATTAATCTCTTCCCATTCCTCCCCTTGTGCTTCCTTTCCCCCTAGTCTGGCTGCAGAGAGGGCTTCGGTTTCCCTTTCTCCTTGTTGCCCTGAAGATAAGCCTGCCCCTCCTGTTCTAAGAAATGTGCTGCTAGTTGCTAAATAATAAAAACTGTCAGGTAGCACCCCAACCAATAAGATTTCTTTCATGAAAGAAATCTTAATAAACTTATGCAAAATATATTCCTTGTTTACACTACAGACCAGACACAAAGTGGTTGTGTTATTGTTGAGCTGAGTTGAGCCTGTGTGTTTTGTTGGGTCTGCACATTGTTTCACAAAAATGTGGATTGGTTTCCAACATTTAAACCAATGTTTAATGAAAATTGAGAAATTTTTTATTAAAATGTATTTTCAAGTTTTCATTCCAAATTGATGTCCTTTATGAAGTTCTAGAATAGGCAAAACTGATCTATGGTGATAGAAATCAGAACTGTAGTTGCTGACATGTCAGAGATTGACTGGGTAGGGACACGAGGGAAATTTCTAGATAATGAAAGATTCTATTTCTAGTAGTCTGAAATGCACCGTAAACTCATACACTGATCTGTATAGTTCACTATGTGTACATGAAATCTCAATATAGGTGGGCTCGGTGACTCACACGTGTAATCCCAGCACTTTGGGAGGCTGAAGTGGGTGGATGGCTTGAAGTCAGGAGTTCAAGACCAGCCAGGCCAACATGGTGAAACCCTGTCTCTACTAAAATTACAAAAATTAGCAGGGTGTGGTGGCACATGCCTATAGTCCCAGCTACTTGCGAGGCTGAGGGAGGAGAATTGCTTGAACCTGGGAGGCAGAGGTTGCAGTGAGTCGAGAGTGAGACTCCATCTCAAAAAAAAAA